CTGTTGGTGAACTTGGGTAAGTAATTTCCAGTATTCGAGCCTCAGTTTCTTTTTCTGGAAAATGGGACTGCTTGGTCTCTGAGGTGCCCCTCTAGCTCTAGAGCCATGGCCCTATGTAGAATCTCTTTTTTCCTCCCCTGTTGTCCTCACAGCACAAGCTAAAGACCATTGGCCTTTTTATATTTTCATCTGTTTCATGGTTTATCATGACCAAAGAATTCTTCACCTAATGGCCAACCTCCTGGTGAGGATACTCTCAGTTTTTAGTGAGGCTTGTCCTCAACTAGCAGACTCAGTCTGTTGCAGCCACACTGATACTTGAAGTCTTTTCGACTTTGTACAACATGCCATTGGCCTAGCCTTAGGAACCCAGCAATCTGTCCACACATACCGTTAATAAGCAGTGACTTCGTACTTTGGTGCATAATAATTGCTTATGCACAAACATGGAACCGAACAATCAGCCTGGAGAACATGGGTAGCTTTTATTATTTTATTATTCTGCCTCTGGAGGACAGAGTTCAGATTAAGGATTCACTCTATTCTGTGTGGGTTATAAAAAGATATCCTCCAAAGTATGGAACACAATGAATTATGTAATTCTCTCTTCATTTTACCTTGAGAAAAATTACTTGATTTAGATTTAATTTTAAACACTAAAACTAAAACACTCAGCTTATGAATTTGGAAATAGAAGGTTCTTTTCTTCCCTTGTCAGCCTCAAGAAATAAATTAGGCACCTGAGGGGCAGGCGGGGGAAACCATTCAGTCGTTCAGGTCTCTAGGTTATTGAACCAATTACTCAATCTGCATCTGTCTGTGCATTACTAACATATTGATCTTCCTCTGATACAGTCTTTTACAGATCACAAACAGAGGTGAACAGTAGCTTTTGAAGGGTTCTCTGTTGATCCCCCACCCCCCACCCCCAGTCTGGGTTGGGGCAGTGGTACAGGTGGGAGGGTTCCTTGACAGAAAGCATGGACTCATTGAGTATAGTACCTGAGTGCCACCTGCAGCACCTCCAGGCCCTACCTCAGTAGTCCCATTGGATGTTGGAATTTGGGAATATGAGAAGTCTTCAATTTGCAAACCATTCCTCTGGCTCTTGGAAATCACTAGCATAATAACAAATGTGCCTCCCAAGGAGGCATGTAGAGAATGACAAAGGGAAAATCGTTAATTATAGAAATGTTAGCTTGTCAAGGATTATGATTTCCTGTTATTTGATTCTCTGTGTTCATGGTCTTCTTTCCCCAGTGTTTTCAAAAGTCATTGTTTCAACAATGCAAAGTTAGATGTTTTCTGGGGTAGCTGGAGATTACATTGGGGAAATTGGTAGGGCCACTCATCACCATCCATATGCAGTACCAATCCAGTCCTTAAAGTATGCATATTAGTGATGGCCTCCTTGGTTTTGTGACCCATACATGTATCTCAAGGACAACATGATATGGACAAAACATGAGACTGAGGGTCAGATTTGTTTCTGAGGCCTAGCTCTGTCACTAACTACATGTAGAACCGTGGGAAAGTGATTTCCCCTCTGTGTCCTTATCTGAAAAAAATGTAGAGATTGGACTTTTATGATTTAAGATGTCCTCCAGATCTAAAATTCTGCGACTCTGTCTTGAGAGGGTTCAGACATCTCAAAGAAGAATTTTAATTCTTTTAAATGAAAAAAAGACTAAAATGTATATGCTGTGCAATACTTGAAAGAGCCAGCAGATGGCACAAGTCACAAAGTCAGATTTTCACTGACAAAATGGTGATCCTCCCCCCACCCCAAACCTGGCTTTCCCATCTTCTCTCCTTAGTTTAACCAACCCTTTGTACCTTGGAGACTTTCAATAAATAGTTGAATGAACTTTCATACTTAGTTTGGTTCCCAGTCAATTTTTATTGGCTGTGAAAGGTAAAGACTATAGAGAAGAGTCCTGTTAGTTAAGTTCAGTCACTCAGCAGGATTGCAGCCTTATTATATTAGGCAGGCCATTCTCAGTACAGCCCTTTACTGCCCAATGTTAATTTCTGGTGATTTCTTTTGATCTGTCAGGTCCAGCATTCAGGGTATATGAACTTTGACCTCTTCAGTCCACTTCACCCTGACCACTGGCTTGCTTGGGGTTGAAAGCATTCAAGTCACATCCTCTTCATGCTCTCTAGTCTTGTGTTAAGCTATTTTTGTAGCCCCCTTCTGGATAATGGGGAGAGGAAGGCCTTTCCCTACTTGGCCCTAGATCTGTTCTTCTAACTTTTGATCAAAACAGCACTGATGTTTTGGCCATCTTCTTGGCCATGAGACTGGTATACCCCTTTCTCTAATGCAAGTTTTGTTCTACCTTCTTCCCTAGCCTTTGACACTCTTCCTTAATAGAACCTAAATAATAAGCCTTTTGTTTATTTGAGCTATTTTGATGAGTTCCTCCACTCCTGTTATATCTGGATCCATCATCTTGGCCCCATCCACCATGTCTCCCTTCCATGTTGCTTCTGCCTAGCCTTTCTTCTCCTCTTTGGACATTTTAGGTTCCTCATGCCCTGTTCTTTCTCTTGTCATCCCCCATTTTCATAGTTTAGGCCCATGTCAACTTTCCAACTTTGTTCCTCTTTTTCCTATTGATTCTCTCCCCCCCTTTTTTCTCTCCCATCAGACATCCATAGGTCGAGTCTCCATTCACTGGTATACATTAGCACCTGCATTTTTACAATAAGCACCACCAACTTTAATACATTTTAAAAAATTTTGTTTAAATATATAAAGTTCACTCTTGTAGGGAAGAGGAAGGACATTTTCTCAGACTTTAGGCTCCAAAATGATTGGAATCACTGGTATGGACTGAATTCCTTTTTAGTTGTTAAGATTGGCTTTTGTTAACTGAAGGTATTTGTATATTTGACCTTTGGATTTAAAAAAATGAAAAGAAAAACAATCTAGAAACATAATATAAGGAGAAAAATCTTATCCAAATCCCTTAGCCTGTAAAAAGGCAGAAACAAAAGAACCTGCCCAAGTTAGAAAATGGAGCAGGTCAAAGCTTCTGTGCCAGTCAGCAGTGAGATTGGGCCCATGAAAGGCCACTGTATTTTCAACCCTGGGTGAGATCGGGAGAGGTAGCCTCAGAACAAACATCTTCCCCCCGCCCCCCAAAGGGAATTGGCAAACAGGATGTTTCTGTTCTGTGTCCCCTTCTAGGAGAATACAATATGGTCTTCCACCATAGGTCCTGTTTTCTTGCCTTCCTTTTCTTCTTATCCTTTTTTTGTCTATCTTTAGTCAGCACGTATAGCTTTGGGTCTCTTTTTCATTCTGTATCTTCTTAATAGAGACCCTTCCATATTTCCATATATTTCTAAATTATATTTTTATGGTGCCAAAATATTCCACTGCAACCATGACAACATTGGATTTAATAGTTATGTATATATATATATATATATATATATATACATATATATATATTTGATATTCTAGTGGGTATAAGGAAGCGTCTTAAGGTTGTCTTGACGTGTATTTCTCTGATTATTGGGAAGTTTGAGCATATTTTCATGAGGTGATTAATAGTTTGTATTTCTTCTTTTATAATTTGTCTGTTTATGTCCCTTGACAATTGTCTCATTGTGGAATGTATATTATTAGTCTTATAGCTGGGCAAGAGTACCTTTATAGATTCTGGGTATCACACCTTTTTTCTGGTATATTAAAAACAATTTTTTTAACCAATCTGTTTTCTTTCTTTTAATTTTAATGGTTTTTCTTTAAAAAAAAAAAACCCCAAACATTTTATATGATCAAGCTTGTTGGTTTTTATCTCTGTTTGCTTCTATTTATTTGATAAAACTTTACCTCTTCTCTATAGTGGAAACAAGTATATTTTTCCTTTCTCTTGCCATTTTTAAATGATTTAAAAAAAAATACTTAGGTCACTGTACAGTTAGAATTTATTCTCTTGTATAATATAAGGCTGCAAATCCACTTTTTTTTCTATATATCTATTCAGTCTTCCCAGAAGCATCCTCTGACGCTTGCTAAGAATATATGATTTGGTAAGAATTTAACAGTGATCTTCACATAGTGATATTTTAATGGAAACACATTTATTCTGTAACAGGCCGCTTTCATTCGTGATGTAATGATGCCAGGAGAGTGGGATGTTTGTGTCACATCCTATGAAATGGTAATTAAAGAAAAATCCGTGTTCAAAAAGTTTAATTGGCGGTACTTAGTCATTGATGAAGCCCACAGAATCAAGAATGAAAAGTCCAAGGTAAACTACTGATCTATATCTTTATTGAAGTTTTTATAAAAACCGTTATTATTATTTGATCATAATAGGTCATAATAATGAATCAGTGTCTAAAGATGTGTTTGAGTTATAATACATTCTTGTTGTAAAATCAGATTTCTTAGGCCTCATCCTTGAAAATGAGACAAAAGTTTAATGGGGTTAATAATGCAAAGGGTATTGGGAATTCTTTGAATGTTTCTCTTAACTCCCCCCCCCCCCACTTAATAGTATTTTATTTTTTCCAATTACATATAAAGATAGTTTTCAGTATTCACTTTTATAAGATTTTGAGTTCCATCTAATTTTTTTCTCCCTCCCTCTCTCCTCCCTCTCCAAGATAGTAAGCAATCTGATATAGGTTATACATGTACAATCATGTTAAACATATTTCTTACATTAGTCATGTTGTGAAAGAAGAATCAGAACAAAAGGGAAAAAACACAAGAAAGAAAAAAGAAGTGAAAATAGTGTGCTTTGATCTGCATTCAGACTCCATAGTTCTTTCTCTGGATGTTGTTAGCATTTTCCATCGTGAGTCTTTTGGAATTGTCTTGGATCATAGTATTGCTGGGTTTCTCTTACTTTTAAGTTAACACTGGTATGATAGAACATTTTTATATTGAATAAAGTACTTTATAATCATAATTTAAAAGTCATTTTTGCCTTTTACTGAGAGGGTCAGTGTGTTATTTGATTTAAAAATATTTTCTTGTGTTGTATGAAAGGAGAGAAGGTTAGCACTCCCCTTGATAAGGAATGGAAGAGGTCTTAGTGGTCTTTACAAAAATATATACGGTTAAGGCATTGCCATCTACTCTATGGCATCTAACCATGTGTTTGGGAGAAAATTTGGAACTCAAAGTTTTAAAAACAAATGTTAAAAAAATTGTTTTCACATGCAACTGGGAAATAAGATATACAGGAAATGAGGTATAGAAATCTATCCTGCCCTACAGGAAAATAGAATGGGAAGGAGATAAGAGAAGGGGGGAGAGATAGAAGAGAGGGCAGATTAGGGGAAGCAGTATTCAGAATGCATGCCATCTTGGGGTGGGGGGAGAGATGAGTTGGGGAGAAAATTTGGAACTCAAAATCTTGTGGAAGTGAATCTTGAAAACTAAAAATAAGTAAATTAATTTAAAAAAAGAACAAAGGCACAAAAAATAAAAATAAATAAAAATATTTTCTTGACCTTTTGTGATTGTGAAAATAAGATTAGGATTGTGAATCACAATGAGATGTGTTGACAATCTTGCTATTCATTTCTGACAACAGTTGGAAAAACTTCTGCTCTCATGTTAGGGTGAGCAGTCTTTGGATCATTACGATACTTTTTTGGGAAGCAGAATTAGTGCAGAACCACACACAGGCACACGTTAGATTCATATTGAATACAGTGCCCCTTAAGAAGCAGTGCGACGGTGGTTTGCTTGTTTGTTTCAGAGAAGAACAGGCAAAAAATTACAAAAAATTTTTATCGACGTGGCCATTGTCATTAGCAGTTAATTGGAAGCATTTTAATAATATAAAGTTTTTCCTTACAAAGCAAAACTTGTAATGCCTTTAGATAAATGACTAAGTTTCATGTTTCCTCTAGGTCTTAGACGTTTAATATAGGGTGTTCATGTGATCGGGTTTGGTTCTGGCCCCTGTAGTGCTCAGGATAGGTGGTCAGGTATGTGGGCGATCAAGGTTGGTGGGCCACGGGAAGGCTGTGAAGATGCTCAGCCTTGCCTCCAGGGAGGCTGATCTCTGTAACCTTGAATTTCCTGAAGACTGTCCCAAGTATGCATACTGTCTGTGGTCTGTAAGTGCAGAGACATTCATTTTCCCTTGCTCCTCTGCAGTATCTTCCTCAACAATTTGTTCCATATCAAACTTTTTTTTCTTCTTCAGTTTGGTGGTTTCCTTGCTCAGTAAAGAGTGAAGAGAGTACGAACTAATTCTCTGAGTGTCCTTCTAATGAGATATGTTGATCTATCTGTTATCTGTCTAGCTTTCTGAGATTGTTCGGGAGTTTAAGACCACAAACCGGTTGTTACTAACTGGAACGCCATTGCAAAATAATCTGCATGAGCTCTGGGCGTTACTCAATTTTTTGTTGCCTGACGTCTTCAATTCTGCAGATGTAAGTTTAAGCTGTGTGCTTTTATCTTCTCATGTTCGCAATCATCTGTTTACAAATTGGATGATGTGATTTCAAAAGAAGTATGGAGATGGAACTTATTAAAACAGAACTTGATTGAATTTATAGTACTACTATTTGTATGCTGTTTCTGTTTGTTTAAGAATTTAAACTGTTCTTAACCATCTTAAAATGAACCCACCTGGAAAAGCCTTTTTTTTTCTTCTTTATCTTAAGGTTCCAAGATTAGCCAGCCCCTAACTGCACATGGCACGTTGCTGCTCCTACTTACGCGATATTGTCCGAAGCAGGCCCAGGTCGCCTCTTGTGCCAACCTGTCCAGGCTTGTGTATGAGGCATTTAACATTCAAAACACCGTTGAGGTGTTTTGAGTAGTGCTTCAGCAAGCAGGCTAACATACTGTATAGAGTGTCTTTAAAATGATCTCATATCCATTTCTTGAAGCCATTAGGATCTGGGCACTGAAGGGCTCGTGGTATACAATGATAACATTTTTCCTTGGCTTTTGCTAGAAGCACAAATTGCTGCTGTATCAGTCTGGACTTCATGGAGATGAGGATGGTTGAGCCTGATTCTCCTCAGAGCCCAAATTAACTGCCTATAGACAGTTACAAAATTCAGCTGCCCATTGTCTCTTATTTTAACACCTGCTTAAATAATTCTTGTTTGTCCACTTGTCTATGTGATAACTTTTGTTTTTCTGCATCAGCGGTCTGTACCTTAGATGGGAAGTTCCTACCACCTGTCCATATAGTTAATAATTACACTTTGTTTAGGGTGAACCATAATTAGGAACTAACTGGATTGTGGAGGACTAGATTTTGATAATTCCTTGAGGATTCCAACTGTCCATGCTCCTGATGGCCCCTCTGCCTGCAATGCCTTTCCCTCCATCTCTATCTGGGTCATCCTACCCATCATTCACGTTTAAGTGCCGTTGCCTTCTCAAAGCCTTCCTTGACTTCTCTTCACTGCCTCAGTTTCCCTGCAGCCTAGATGTCCTCTCTCCTTCTTCTGTGTCTCCATAATCACTTTAGACTTCTCCTATGGCACCTACCATGTTCTCTTTTATATTTGTGGTTACTATGAACTGTCTCAATAAATGTTAATTTAATTTTTAGAAAGCTATGTACTTAATTGCAGATTTTTTCCCTCCCTCTATAGGATTTTGATTCCTGGTTTGACACTAAAAATTGTCTTGGTGATCAAAAGCTTGTGGAAAGACTACATGCCGTAAGTAATAGTTACCAAGGTAATTGAGCGAATACAAATGAAATGAATGGAGTCACAGAGTCAGCTCCAGCTTGTGGGCAGAGAGGTGGGCAATCTCTAGCTTTGGCTGGTATGCCCCTTAGCTACCCATCCTGACCAATCACTTCCTGAAAGTGCATTTTGGATATATATTTCTGGGATGTAAAGATATTAGTGATGATGACAGGTTTTAGCTAGACACAGTGTAAAAAAGATTAAGGTAATTTATCCTCTACATAGAGATAGAGCTGAATAAACCTTAACAGGAGCACAAAATCACACACTTGTTCCCTCAAGTCTTTGAACCTGTCCTAGATGGCTACTTAGGATATCTCAGGCAGAATATTGTTGGGCATTCTAGCCTATCCTGACCAGGCCAACTCCCTTTCCCACTTTATTGTTTTCTTATCTAATCCATTTTGTACTGTCAACTCCTGAGTGCCTAATTTAGTTCCCTAAGCATGGTACAGAGGATAGAGAGCTGGCCTCAGAGCCAGGAAAACTCAGGTTCATGCTCCACCTCTGATACTTCCTGGCTGTGTGACCCTGGGCAAGTCACTTAATTTAGCAATGTCTAAGGCCATTCACTAAGACTAGAATTGGCAAAGAAGGTGATGACTTGCATTGGTAGAAGGAATTTCCTCAATGACATCCCAGAGCCAGGACTGCTCTATTGTTCACTCTAAAATGATTCCCATATTCTTCTATACACATGGAGCACGTGGGGCCCCAAGAAAAGCTCCCTCAAACTCTTGATACTCTGGCTCTATATCCACTCAGAAGCTCTGCTCATGAGCCCCTGTTGATGGGTTTTCAGAATTTGAGAGTCAGAAGGGCCCTCCCCAGCTGTCCAGTCCAACCCTTACACAAAAGGAATCCCCACTGTAGTGTACTGACAAGTGGGCATCCAGCTGCCCATAGAAGACTTCCCAAGAGGGTGGACCTACCACCTTTTGGGGCAGTCCATTCCTCATTAGGTGGCTTCTAATTGTTAGGAAGCCTTTCCTGGTGTCAAACTTCAATTGGACTCTGTAGGTTTTGCCCCTGGGGTCCCCTAAACAGGACAAATCTATACCCTCTTTGATGTGACAGTTCTTCAGAACCTTACATAACTAGCAGAAATCCTCAAGTCTTCCCTTGAACATGGCTAGCAGAAATCCCCAATTCTTCCTTTGTTCAGGCTAAATGTGCCTCACTCCTGATCTGGGATGAACTCAAGGCCCTTTACTATCCTGAGTGCCCTTCTCTGGATACATTCCACCTTGTCAATGTCCTTCTTAGACCATGGTGCCCAGAACTGAACACAACACTCCAGATGAGACCTGATGAGGACAGAGTAAAGTGGCACTATCAGCTCCCTAGTTTTGGAAACTCGGCCCCTGCGAATGCAGCCCAAGGTTGCATTAGCTCATTTGGCTACTATATCATACTACTGACTCATATCAAGCTTGCAGTCCTCTAAACCCCCCAGATCTTTTTCAGGACAACTGCTGTCTATCCATGCTTCCCCAGACTTTTACTTGTGAAGTTGGTTTTTTTGGTATCCCAGTGCAAGACTTCACAGATTTTTAAAATATCGCATGTGTTAGCCATTCCTCCTGGCTCTGTGTTGTCTGTAGATCTGGCAAACATGCCATCTGTGCCTTCATCCAAGTTACTGATAAAAATGTTAAATGGCGCAGGTCTAAGCACAGATCCCTGGGGGTCCTCTACTATAGACCTCCTACCATGTCGACATTGAGCCAGCCATTAACTACTGTTCTTTGAGTCTGACCATCCAACCAGTTCTGAATCCTTCTGATTGTATCAAGTATCTAATTCTCTCTACCTTCTCCACCCTAATAGTATGAGATGTTATCCAAAGTTCTGTTAAAAACTAAGGAGAAACCATATACACTGTATTCCCCTCATCTATTAATTTGGTAGGACTAGACCTGAGTTTTCATTGGTATAGGGAACTCCCAGATGGGGGAACTCTCTGCAATTTTTAGTCTTAGAAAGGGGACTGACTGGTGAAGTGATTTGTTCAGGGTGACATACCTAGCACACATCGGAGTCAAGTCTTCACCTTGGATCTTCTTAACTTTAAGGCTGGTTCTCCATCTACTGTACCATACTACCTCTATAGTGATCCTGTCAACCAAGGAAATCAGGTTAGTTTGAGTGTTTGATGAAGCATGCTAGCTCATTGTCATGGCCTCTTCCCTTTCTAGATGTTTGCCAACCATCTCTTGAATGTTATGTTCTAGAATTTTCCCAGGAATTGAAGTCAAGTTCACTGGCCTAGAAGGTGAAGATTGTTCTCTTCTCTTTTTTGAAACACAAGGCAACATTTGCCTTTCTTCAATTTTTTTGTACCTCTCTTATTTTCCATGATATATCAGATGTCATTGACGATGCCTTGGCAATCACACCTGCTCATTCTTTCAGGACCCAAATGTGTC